AGAGAAACTCAAAAATGTATTGGTGTATATATAAATACAGAGGAGAATAAAGGGTAGACAAATAGGAGAAACATCTTTTTTAAATAGGTGGGGAAAAAAGATGGAAGGATGGGAAATATTTATTTTAAAAGAATGCAATTAATAAAAATTTTAAAATCTTACAGGCTTGCAAATCTAAAAGATCAAGTTCTAGAATCAGCTTTACCACTTACAAATGAAGATTTACAACAAGTCAGGAACATTCCTAACTATGAGGTCCATCATCTATGAAATTAGAACTAAAATTCTCTTCCCCATTGAGACCCCAGGTTTTCAGTTAGGAGGACAGAAACTGACAGATGGGAATCTGCAGTACACTCAGTGTGCACAACACTCCCTTTGAAAACTTGCAACAGCTATGTGTTTCTGCATATCAGAGTAGCTTAATTTTACATCATACAAAGACTTTAAATAGTACAAGAGATTCCAGAGGGCTCCCATTCACTGAGAATGTCAGAGTAGTACTTCATGACAGTGAGTGACACTGTAATGCTTAATTGTCCATATTTTGTACAACTGAACACTGCATATAAAGAATTTCATCTAGTTCTTACCTTACTAGTGAAATAACCAATTGCCAAAGAGAAAAGTAGAGTGTGCCAGACTTATGTAAAACTGTTATTTTGCTTGATAACATGAACATTATACCAATATAATCAATTTTCAAAAATATTTTTGAATAAGACTGGGTTTAGAATCTATGATGTACATATAGGAAGCGTCCTACTTTTATAACTTTTATGACAATATTACAATTTTGTTTGTGACAAAACACACATTGCCGTGAATTATGCAGATACCAAATGTTTAACACATGTTTGTGCTTCTGTATGTGTGTGTGTGTGTTGTGTGTGTTTGTGTGTGCATTTGTGTAGTGTCTCTGTCTTCATAGAAACAACTAATGACTAAAGCAGTAACTTTTCTTTGGCTGGACTTTGCAAAATCTCCTTGCTGAGCCCTTTCACTTTGGATTTGGAATCAGAAATCATCTATCCATGAGCTTGAACAATTTAAACATGGGGCATTGTACCGTGAGGCAGAACTTCCACAGATATAACAGACGTAGAATAGACAGACCTGTTTGTGTGAGTGTGTGTCCTGTGCATACTCACATGGGTGTTCACCTGTGTATGGTAAAATGTGTACAAGAAGACAGTGTACAGTGAGACACAGAATGGAGTTCAATGAAGACTAGAGTTTGATGAACTACAGGGAGAAAGAACCCAAATCCCTTTGACTTTTGACTTTCAATTAGCTTTAAATCAAAGCACACTTGGTCACTCATTCCTAACTAATCCTTATTAACAATAGCAGCTTGCTTAGAGAAAGTTTACCTGTAACAAATTCATGATGCACCATCTCACCACAGAAAGAATGGCTATCACAAAGAAATGAACCAACAACAAATGTTGGAGAGGTGGCCAGAAAAAAGGAACCCTTCTCCACTGCTGGGGGGAATGTAAACTGGTGCAACCATTACAGAAATCAGTGTGGAGACTCCTCAGAAACTTAGGACTGGAAATCTCATTCAATCCAGCTATCACCTTTCTGGGAATTTTCCCAAAAGAATTGAAAGCACCATATTATAATGATATATGCATGCCTATGTTTATAGCAGCACATTTGTGATAGCCAAATCTTGGAGACAACCAAAGGCCTGTCACTTAAGGAGTGGATGAAAAGGATATGGTATTTTTATACAATGCAGTATTACTCAGCTATAAAGAAAAACAAACTTGAAGCCTTCGTTAGGCAAGTGGATGCAACTTGAGGCTATACTCATGAGTGAACTAAGCCAGACCCACATGTGTAAATATATTGACTCTCTAGTGTAAGAACTCAAATGAAGAAATAAAACTGAAAGGTATACCAGCCATGGTTAAATGAAAGAAACAGAACTTAAGGGTTAAACAACAAAGAGAGAGAAAGGAGAACAGGTAAGAAATAAGAGAGGGGCAAAACCATACATACATACAGATGTAAGTTGAATAAGGTGATAGTCCTAAGAATTTCCATCAGCTTTTTGAAAATAGCACCTAATGAGTAGAACCCTGACCCTGAATAACTCTCTATGTGGAAATCTGTGAACTAAGCAACTACACTGGGGAGAGCAATTTGTAATACTAACATCATACTTGAAATACTTGTCATCTTCATCTTCTAAATGTGTACCGTTTCTAATGTCATGTCAATTATTACTATCTTTAAATTTCTTTAAAAAAAGTAATAGAAGAAAATGAGAGTCAAGAACAAAAATTTAAAATTTCTTGAAAGCATGTGGTAATATTCAATCATATGTCCCATCTTCCCATCTTGCATAACTATATCTGTTAAACTTTTTTTTTTTTTTTTTTTGTACTAGAGATTGAACTCAGGACCCTGCGCTTGCCAGGGAAGCACTTATTCTACTGAGCTAACTCCCTGGTCTTATATCTGTTAATATGAGCAACAGATTTGATGATAAAAATAGATAATATACCAATCACTGTTAATCAGCAGTTTTCATTTTGAAAATCTGTAATGTATGTATTGTTCCATGTTACCCTGTTTCTGCCTTTGTTTTTCTTGCTCTTGTTTTTACTCTTCAAAATAAGTGAAAATTATTTATAAAGAAA